TCACCCACTCCCCCTACCCCTTACCCACTCCCCCTACCCCTTCCCCTGCCCCCTCTCCCTCACCCACTCCCCCTACCCCTTCCCCTGCCCCCTCTCCCTCACCCACTCCCCATACCCTTTCCTCTGCCCCCTCTCCCTCACCCACTCCCTCTAACCCCTTCCCCTGCCCCCTCTTCCTCACCCACTCCCCCTACCCCTTCCCCTGCCCCCTCTCCCTCACCCACTCCCCCTACCCCTTACCCACTCCCCCTACCCCTTCCCCTGCCCCCTCTCCCTCACCCACTCCCCATACCCTTTCCTCTGCCCCCTCTCCCTCACCCACTCCCTCTAACCCCTTCCCCTGCCCCCTCTCCCTACCCCTTACCCACTCCCCCTACCCCTTCCCCTGCCCCCTCTCCCTCACCCACTCCCCCTACCCCTTACCCACTCCCCCTACCCCTTCCCCTGCCCCCTCTCCCTCACCCACTCCCTCTAATCCCTTCCCCTGCCCCCTCTCCCTCATCCACTCCCCATACCCTTTCCCCTGCCCCCTCTCCCTTACCCACTCCCCCTACCCCTTCCCCTGCCCCCTCTCCCTTACCCACTCCCCCTACCCCTTCCCCTGCCCCCTCTCCCTCACCCACTCCCTCTAATCCCTTCCCCTGCCCCCTCTCCCTCACCCACTCCCCTACTCCCTCACCCACTCCCTCTAATCCCTTCCCCTGCCCCCTCTCCCTCACCCACTCCCCATACCCTTTCCCCTGTCACCTCTCCCTCACCCACTCCCCCTACCCCTTATCCACTCCCCAAACTCATTCCCCTGTCCCCTCTCCCTCACCCACTCCCTCTAATCCCTTCTCCTGCCCCCTCTCCCTTACCCACTCCCCATACCCCTTCCCCTGTCCCCTCTCCCTCACCCACTCCCCCTACCCCTTCCCCTGCCCCCTCTCCCTCACCCACTCCCTCTAATCCCTTCCCCTGCCCTCTCTCCCTTACCCACTCCCCCTACCCGTTCCCCTGCCCCCTCTCCCTCACCCACTCCCTCTAATCCCTTCCTCTGCCTCCTCTCCCTTACCCACTCCCCCTACCCCTTCCCTGCCGTAATGTATATTCCCCATCATCTCACACAGCGAAATTTGTGAAGGATATTCTTATTAGATTAAGTGCTATTGTGTCGAATTTTAAATCATATCAATGGCGTGTTTTAAAACTTCTCTCTCTTTATATATATGGGATATTTTTTCTTTCTATCTCTATCTCTGGTTCACGGTCTTTTATTCTGTATATGCCGGTCTATCTTTCTCTAACTCTCTCTCTTCTATCCTTTCCTTCCTTTATCTCCTTCTCTCCATTTTCTCTAAACATTCCTCCTTCCCCCCCTCCTCTTTCTTCTGTGTCATTTATTTTGTTTCCTTCTAGTATTACACATTATTTCAATTTTAAAATTGCATATGTTGTATGCATGTATGTAGGTTTGTATGTGTGTATGTGTACATGTATGTATGTATGCATGTATGTATGTATGTATGTATGTATGTATGTATGTATGTATGTATGTATGTATGTATGTATGTATGTATGTATGCATGTATGTATGTATGTATATGTATGTGTATATATATTTATATATATGTATATTCATATACATATATGTATGTACACACATGTATATATATATGTATATATATATATATATATATATATATATATATATATATATATATATATATATATATATATATATATATATATATATATATGAATCTCATGCAGAGAAGATTCTTAAACACCTAAACACCGAACACTTTATCAGGTTCACATATGACGTGGAACGAAAAATAGCGAACTACCCTATTTAAACAACACTAATTACAAAAGAAAATGCTCACACACCACTATTTATGGCAAGCCAGCTTTTTACGCGGCTCGGGATTAATTTCCCAGATAATACGCCACAGAAATATAAAATCAACTGCATTCATATCTTCATTTATAGGGGCCTTAACAAGTGCAACACCTGAATGTTGTTTAAAATTCTCTCTCTCACAAATTACATGAAAACAAATTGTTACCCTGAAAATATACTCTTAAATCCCTTACAAAAGTCTTAAAAATCTAAATTAATGATCAAAACCAGAGTACCCACCGGATATATGTAAAAAAAAGAAACATATCAAATAACCACACATTGGAATCACAATTTCCAGCATTCGCAAAGAGTGGAATGAAATAATATAATACTCATCCCCACAAAATGAAATCTAAATGTTGTATTGAAGAGTAACCACACACAGGCACAGAAAAAGAAAATACACCCTTAAGTTTTAATCTTGTTTAAATGTTTCTTTGTAATGTTTGGTATCAACCACATAAAAATGTAAACACCGAATATTAAAACATGTAGATAGGTCAATAAGGTCTTTTATATATATATATATATATATATATATATATATATATATATATATATATATATATATATATATATATATATATATATATACATATATATGTATATATATATATGTATATATATATGTATATATATATATATATATATATATATATATATATATATATATATATATATATATATATATATATTTGTATGTGTGTG